GATCCAGAAACAGGAGACTGAGAAGTCAAACATCATGAACCCTAAGACCAAACTAACCAACGGTAGACTTGAACTTCTTCGAAAACCAGATCCCTTATTCTTATATTACACCATCACCTCAGTCAGACGAAATGAGGACTGGATCTCGTAGCTCTGCTTCGGATTCGAGAAGGGTGGGGATGAAGAAGAAGAGCAAGGACCAAAGGCATCTTATAGTGGCGAACGAAGATGGGGCGCAGCGCAACGAAAGTGGAGACGGTATGGATAGGATACGCTGCCGGACCACGCTGTGGAGATATAGCCGGCCATGGTGCGCTCCCTGCTCAAGCGAGCAGAGGGGGGTAATAAAGGAGAGGAGAGAGAGTTCGCTCGACGAGGGAGGCGTGCGGGTGGTCGTGCCCCCAAAAGAAGAAAGAAGGGAGGGGGGTCTGGTACGGAGACGAGGGCGAGGATCAAGAGCGGACCGGAGGCCGGGAAAAGGAGAAGCGTACAGTGCACGAGACGGCGAGTGCGGCACGATGTCGAGGCCATGCGAGGACAGGTGCTAATGGGCTCGACACCGACAGCGTCCGCAGGGCACGCGGTGACAGCAACCCGGCGTGCGTAGCGTGGTCAAGCTGGGCATAGTGCCTGGGACTTGACATCCACTCAGGCTTTTCTAAGCATTCCCTACTACCCAAGGCTAACTTTTCCCAGATGTTCTTCTTTCCTTCCCTCCGTTGTCCACAATATGCGCCAAACTTTGTATGAAGTGAGATCGCAACATACATACTTCCTCCGAAACCACCTTCTCTTATTTACTTTGAGAGAATACTATTTCATCAATCCGTTGTGTATTTCTCGTTCAAACACCCGAATATTTGTATCAAAAGTGGCATGGCGGTGTAACTTGGTAAAGGTACTTGGTCAACAACCTCGATACCAGCGCGTGGCGAGCAGTGCCACCATGTGGCAGCTGTTCTACAGGGAGCCCTCGGTTTCGTCATGACACCATAAACTATTAACCAGGCAACTACTACCAACTTCATGGCTGGAAGGCGGTGGGGTCATAGATCACAGAATGAGGGGAGTATTGCAAGGGAAGATTCAAACAACAAGGGTTCCCTTCACAACAAAGGACAATGAATTCAAATCCAGCGACGGATTTGATTTAAAGAGATTCAAGTGTTCTACTGGGACATCCACAATTAATCGATACAGCGTCCTATATTATCCAATCACGACTGGTTTGCTGATATCTGGATGACAACTTCTCTTATAACCCACCTACCATCGCCCTTGAAAACTCTAAGCACATTTAACGGGAATTAAGTAGATGGACGCAATAAACATAGGGAAATAAACCAAATGCATATTCCAACGGTCTTATACAGGTACATCATACAGGCATCCAGTCTCCCATTCACGACACAACATTCACCTTCCCTACGACGGACGATCTCAACAGTACGTACGAAAAACAACGGCAAGAGTACAATACCGGAAGACAGCGAAGAACAGCACTACTACTACGGGTATAGCATCTCAAGGCAACTAATCTACTTGGAACTACGCATCTTCATTCCCGGGCTTGGCGGATTCTTCAACCGCCTTGGCTATGGATCTGCATATTCTCTTGGCGATGGCTGAGTGAGAGGAATCAAGGGCTCTACTTCTGACACTTCCGAAGGTGGAGGTGCTGGCGGCACTACAACACTGGTCCTCCTTCTTTCAGGCTGGTGGGCAGGGATCCCTTCCAAGATCGGGGCATCCTACCTTTCAGTAGCCAATGTCCTCTGCTTGGCCCTGGTGATAAGATAGGCCTCCCGCAACTGATGGACATGCCGATCTTTAGCCTCCTTTAGAGCTTCGGACATGGTAGTCTCCCGACTCTCAGCAGCTGCAGCACTGGCATGCGCCTCGGCGAGCTGCACCTGGAGGATTCGGGTGAAGATCTCAGCTTCCTCTGCCCGCCAGAGGCATATCCTCAGTTCCAAGGCTTGCCAGTCATACTGCTCATCCAGGGCAAAAAGGTACGCGATCAAATGCACCACGGTAGGACTATCCTCTTGCGCATCCCACCCTTGCAAAGCCTCCATGCGAGCCCTCCATGCCCTCCGATTCCTGTCCAAAGGTGGAAAGAACCGCATGGGGGTACCAGCAATGGGCTCCTCATAGATCTGGCAGAGGTACCGCAAGGCTTTGCGGGCCACAACCTGGTAGGTGTCGATAAAGCTAAACCCGGTTGCGGTCACACTCCAGGCTCCAGTGAGGTCAGGGAACTCCTCACTCTTTCCGATGTAGACGGTAACCTCACACCGCTCGGTGCCTTGCTTCTCATACTCACAGCCCTCATACTCGGGACGATCTTTGACTCCGAGCTTTTGTAGGGTGGCATGCAAGATTCTGGGAAAACCCTCAACGTTCAGACAGTAACTACTAACCCAGGCTCCTGCCATTTCTGGTGGTGGTTGTGAGGAAGGCTAAGCAAAAAGATGGCTCAAAGAAAAAGCTAAGCGAGCTAAAGTGCGCCGAGTGGTGGTACCAATGGCTAAGCCAGGCTCTTCTTATAAAGGTGGAGCGGTCTGTGGTCCTGACGCGGTTCACTAGGGTTCCTACGCGGGATCACTGCGAATGAATCGACCAAATTCTGCGCGTTCGAGGCGAGCGACGTGCGATGCCATTACTGAGTAGTACGACTGCAGGGCAAGGGTCCGACAAAGAGCGCAGAAAAGGGGTACGAGGAGATGTGGGTCACTACAGGCGTGAACCACGGACGAACGCGGAGGACGAAGCCACAGTGCAGACCTAACTCTGGAACAGGAATGAGTAGGTCATGCACAGTACGACACGCGGAGGCCCAGCGGCGGCTCGCACGCGGCGCCCTAGCAGCAGCTCGCATGCGACGGACCGGGGCTGCAGACAGGAAGCGTTTCACATAGGGTGCCTCAGCAGCAGTTCCCGCATAGTGGACCAGTGGCAATTCGTGTAGGACGCGCCAACGGCGGTCACGGAGTGCCCACCAGCGTACCGGCGACGACTGAGCAGGGCGCTGTGGCGGCGCTTCGTGGAGCATGCAAAATTTACGCTACACGCACGGCATGTTGCAACGAGTTGTAATAGCAGCAAGCCCATAGCAAGAGTAATGCTCATCACAGCTTTAACGATTGTGAGTAGGTACCTTATAAGAAATTAAGCCTACACAATCATAAGAGCGACAACTGATTGTGGACAATCTGCTGTTGTCTTCTTACCTCTGTATATATTGTGTGAAGTGATATATTAGCGACTGTGAAATGGTGCTACATATGTTATATTTATGAGCAACGCAAGTTAATCTGTTTAATTCCATTATATTAGATAACGTAAATATCAGTTTTACTCCCTCCGTCCCCAATTAACTATCACATTTGATTTCCGTATAGAAAGTTTGACTTGATTTATAAAAATACGTGTAGCGTTTGTCTCCAAACAAATTAATTAAAAAGTATATTCTAACGATATTAATTATGTACCATAAATATTAATAATTTTTTATATATATTTTGGTCAAAATTGTTTCTTGAAAAGTGAAAAAGAGAAATATTTAGGAACGGAGGGACTACTCCCTTATCTATGCCTAGTTAGTTTTGAAAATATATGGTTTTGGGAGTCACAAAAGGACAATCCCTATGGGACGAAGGTAGTAAGAGACAAGTTCACAAGTTGAGTTGATCCATGAGAGATTGAGACATGCATCGCTGGATAAATGTGATGAGACAAAACATGTTTCACGACGCCAAACAAATAAATGCAACGTGCTTAGCCAAACACATAAAAAGTGTATCTACCACTGCAGCACAGGACAGGGATAGTGCATGACGACAATTCTCCCATGTGGTAGCTGTACATTTGATGGGTCATGGGAGCGGTCCGGAGCGGTCCTTTTATTGTTGCTGCTGCCACAGCTTAGGCACACCAAGAAAGCAATAATTTATAGATGGTACCCATCAGCCCTGATCCTAGCGTGCACATGGCTGCATGCTGGTCCAGGTTGTACGGGGCTGCAGGCACGGAAGCATCAAAGCAGCAGCAGGCTTGTCTTTTCCAATTACTACCAAGCCACATGCAAACGCACCAGCCAGCAGCTGGTAGCACAATGCGACAAGTGTCGCAACGGAAGCCTACAGCATGCAACCATCAAGCACCTGCCTGCATGCACTCATCGCATTTAAGGTTTGAATGGGAGGTTCAGGAAGCCACGAGGACGAAACCACAACATGAAATTCATCTACCCTCATCCAACGGCTACAAAAATAAAGGATACGTGGGCACATTGGGAGGCCGCCTAGACGGCGCGGCCTCATACTTCTAATTTGGCCTCTTGGTGCGATGGCCTGTTACAATAACACGTGATTGCAGCATATCATCGGGCATTAGGAAATGTTGCACGAGACGCACTATTGGCACTATACTGCATGATGTTTATTTATGCGCTGCTGTAAACTATGGGTTGGGATTCGTGATGAAAACGGAAAGGAAATATCCTGAACCGAACCGCATCGTTTTCTACATTTGATCCGAGCGAATTCGTATTTTCAGACAAAATACGGAATACTAAATTCGAAATCAGATCGAATTCGGTTTAAGCTTTGTTCGACCGATTTTTACTTTTCTACGTTTTATTCGGAGTCTTCCGTATTCGAAATTCGGTTCGAACCGAATTTGGTCCAGCACGCACACGCACGCCCTGGCCAAAGCTGCATAGCGCCATCGGCCCAGCCCAAAGTTGACAACCCTAAATCCCTAATCCCATTCCCTGATTCCCTCCCCGTCTCCTCCCCTCCCGTCCGGCCCTGGCGTTGGCGAGTGGCGGCGCCCCGACTCGCGACGCACACGCACGCACGGCGCGACACCTCGCCTCGCCTTCGTCCGACCTGCCAGCGCCGCCGCCCCTCATCTACACCTACCAGCGCCGCCGCCCCTCATCTGCACTTGCCATCGCCGCCGGACACCTGCCAGCGCCGCCACTCCGCCCATCGATGGCGCCCACTGGAGGAGGTGTTTCTGCTCCTGGAACGAAGAGCAAGAGCAAGAATAAGACCAAGAGCGCGCGCCACCTTCTTCTTGCGCGCCGGCAGCTCAAGCAAGAACGGCTTCTCCCTCTCCGGTGCCAGTAATCTGATTCATCTCCTTCGTACTAAGGATAGATCCACTAGCTCGTCTCCCCGGTATTTTTTCTCCCCGGTTCAAGCTCGCACCTTGTCGAAGCACAACAAATCCTGGGCGGATTGCTTGTGCCGCTCTTTGATTTTCTTGATTCTTTTGAGAGGATGTGGCGGTGCGATTTGGGGAGAGCTGCAGCAAAGGTTCAATTTTTCGCAGCTTAACACCCTTAGGACCCCGACCTTTGATTTTAACCGTTTCTTTGAATGCGGTGCTTGCTGCTGCATGGGTTTGTAGTTAGCTTGATACATGGCTAACGTAAGTCGTGGTCGCATGCTATGAGGTGAAATTGTGAATGTTTTGCAACTGATGTGTGCTTGCCGATAAGATTTAACGTATTTCAAGGCTGGACCAGTTCATTTTGAGAATGTATCATACTCAGTTTTAGGTTTGAGAATCAGATTGTGTGAACGAAATTGAGATGGGTATATTCTTCTATGCAGAAAGGAAAGCAATTCCAGTCCAGTCCAGTCCTGTCCTGTGGGTTAACTTGAAAATGGTATTATAGAAACTACAAATCCACAGCTCCCCAATCACAAGTTCAGTTGGATAAACCACATTTTAAATTCATCATTGCACAATTAGCCACCTAAGTTTCTGAGTTTGTGTGGTGTTCAAGCATAAGATCCCATGTATACTTCGTCAAGAACAATGCTATGTTCCTGTGCCCCCTTGTGACACAGTATTACATTGCTGATACTTTTGTGATGTAAAGGTGCTTGCTGATACTTTTCTGATGTAAAATGACACAATATTAGATTAAAATATTTTCTGGACATTTTGCTTGATTATTTGGGATCGGCATGCACTAATTTAGCAATGTTTCAATTGGCTCTTGGCGGGATGAAGGGCAAAAGGTCGCATCTCGAGTATTAGTCCTAGTGGAACTTGTGAAAGTCCAACTACTGAAGCATCGATGCTTGACATCGATTGTCGTTGATGGGTTCTTGTGCTCCAAATGTTGACACCAGTTACCTTTGGCGGTGGCGCTGGACCCGCTTGTGCACCAGCAACAACCACAACTCCAAATGTCGACAATGATGACCCGGAGGATGGCGAGGATGAAGAGGAGGCTCACCTTTCTCGGCAAGAGGTACAAGAAATGCACATCATGGGTCCTGGAATTATTTCACCAAGAAAAAGGAGTATGTAGAGGTGGAAGGAAAGCAGATTGAGGAGATTTGGGGATACTGTAATTTCGCTAGGTGTGATCAGAGGTACAGAGCTGAGGGCATCTGTGGGACGACTGCATTCAAGAACCATTTGAAGTCAAAACACAAGATCTTGTGAAGGGACAACAACAACTTAAAGTTGGTAAGAAGAACTCGGGTTCAGAAAGCGACTCATGTTCACCTTTCAAATATGACCAAGAAGCTAGCTTGAAGAAATTGAATTTAGCAATAACCATGCATGAATATCCTTTCAATATAGTTGAGCATGGGTATCTTGTTGATTTCATAAAATCTCTCCGTCCTACCTTTCCGATAAAATCTCGTGTCACTGTTAGGAAAGAAATAATGGACAATTATTTCTAAGAAAAGGAAACTCTGTATGCACACTTGAAAACTATGAATTGTCACTTTAGTGCAACAATAGATATGTGGACCTCATGCCAAAACAAAGGATACATGTGTGTTACAATTCATTGGATAGATGATAGTTGGCGTATGCAAAAGAGAATTATTGGTTTCTTCAATGTAAAAGGTAGGCATATCTTTGGTGCAAAGTTGTCTCGAGACATTCCTTTGAAGTTATGGTTAAATGGTATATTGAAAATAGACTGTTTGCTTTGACTTTGGATAATGCCAGTTCAAATGAAGTGGCTGTCAATGATATAATTTCAGATCTAAAAGAGAATGCTAATGGTTCCCTAGTGTGTGATGGGATGTTTTTTCATGTTAGATGTGCCTGCCATATTCTCAATTTGGTTGCTAGAGATGGGTTGAAAGTCATTTCAGAAACACTCAGCAAGGTCAAATCACTTGTACTAGCTGTGAAAGGGTCTCCATTGCAGTGGGAAGAGCTTATGAAGCGTGCCACCGAAGCTGGGTTGGATACAAAGAGGGGTATTCAAATGGATGTTTCAACAAGGTGGAACTCTACCTATCTAATGTTGAGAGATGCCTTGTACTACAAGGATGCATTTATTAGGCTGAAGTCTTCAAATCGACGTAGGTATGCGTATGCCAAGATTTCTCCATCTTCTGATGAATGGGACAATGCATTGACAATTTATGGTTGCTTGAAGAAATTTTATGATCTCACTGAAATTCTCTCTAGCACTTCATATCCTACTGCAAACTTATTCTATAGAGGTTTCTGTGATATAAAAGTCTTGCTTGATGGCTGGTGCTTTAGTGAAGATGCTATAATTAGAGAAATGGCAGTTGCTATGAGTGCAAAATTTGAGAAATATTGGGAGCAGTCCAACAGTGCTCTAGCTGTAGCCTATTTTCTTGATCCTAGGTATAAAAAAAGGCTCATAGAGTACTACATGAAGAAGTTCCATGGGATTCATTATCAAGCTGAACTTGATGAGTTTATTAGTGTGGTAAAGAAACTGTACAACTTTTATAATATTAGTTCTGCTCATGTATCATCAAAGACAACTAGTGAAGTGGCTGCACCTGCACCTAGTAACACATCTGATGTATTAATGGGAAATACAGACCATGACCTAGAAGAATTCTTATATGATGCAAGTGAACCTGCTGTGGTTGAGTCAAATGATTTGGAGAGGTATATGTTGGAACCACTACTGAAAATTGTTGGTGAGTTTGACATCTTAGCGTGGTGGAAAAAACAAGAGAGAAGAGTATCCTATCCTTTCACAAATTGTTAGGGATGTAAGGGTTGTACAAGTATCAACAGTAGCATCCGAGTCTGCTTTTAGTGCTGCTGGTCGTGTTGTTGATCCCTATCGTAGTCGTCTTGATCCCGAGATGGTACAGGCATTAATTTGTACAAAGGATTAGGTTGCGGCAGCAAATAAAGGTGCTCATTCTTATCTGTTTTTTCAGTTACACACTTGTAATTGAAGGAAAATAATGCTTTGATTTTTTTTCCTTTCTAATTTTTTGTTCAGATTCTAAAATGGTTGGATCAATTGTGAGTGATCTTGAGGTTGATGCTTTGACTAATGTTGTGGCTAAGCTGAAAATTGAGGTACGTTTATTGACTGCTTGCTATGAAATATGCTAGTTGCTGCTGCTCCTGCTGCTGAATTGCTGCTCCTGCTGCTGAAGCCCCCTTGTGGTGCTTAGGTGAATTTTAGTTCTACATTTTAAGCTCTAGATTTTATGCCACAGTCCTCAAATGCAATGAAAGCAATCGCATGGCCTGACAGATATGAAAATGAAGATTATAACTCAATAACAGAGAATAGGTAGCCAACCATTTAAAATACTGGGCCATATGGAGAATTTAACTCAATTTCAACTTTGAGAGATGCATTTATTTCAACCTTTGTGGATACCACTGACATACTTCTTACAGACTAGAATCACATGTCTGAAGATGAAATCTTAAGTGTACTAAAAAACATAAAAAAAGACTAATCAATGAGGACCACGTATTTTGCTTTCAGAGAAAGTAGTATGAGCATCTTAGTGACAGCAAGCGATAAATGATAAGTAACCCACTTAAAGATATTCCATGTTGATAGCAAGAAAAAGTGAAAAACATAAGACATGCTTACCCTCAAATTGCCTGATTGATACTAGTTTCCCATGGTAAAGAAGTAGCTGCTGTTCTCAATGCATCTTATCCAAACCTGGGCAAGGCTATCTGAGATTCCATTTACTAGGGCCCTTTGCTGGGAACAGTTGTCATTCAGTTGATTAGAATTGAGTGGAACTCTATCAACAGACCTACACTCTCCATAAACCAAGTTGTCATTCAGTCTCAACCGATATGAATGTTTGGGAGCGACACAGAACACAGATGGAGACCAAAGTGATTAGTGCCATGCTAGTTGCTAGTTGCTACATCTAATTTTAATTCACTTTGCAAACTTGTAGGACAATAACAAGGAGGGGGAAGAGGACGCTGAGGAGGACAATGAGGAAGAAAAAGACATGGAAAGTGATCCTGACATCATGGATGATGCTGATGAACTGTAGACGTTCATATTCTGTTAATTGCTTGTTCTAGACTTGTTATGTATTTGGTCGTGCACTTGTTTAATGCTATGCACTTGAACTAGATCATACACTTGTTAGTTGTGAACTTGTTATGTATTTGGTCGTGCACTTGTTTAATGCTATGCACTGTGGGTCGGTATTTCGTATTGAATTTTCGCATACCGACCGTGTTCGACATAATTCCGCTCGAATTGGTTCGTTTCCGAAATTCTAGATATTCCGTAAGTTCGTGTTCGTTTTCGTGTCCGGTTTGTCCGCTTTCGCTTTCGCTTTCGTATTTCAAATGTAAAAGTAGAAAACGGTTGAGGAGTTTTTCGACCGAATTCGACCGTTTTCAGCTGCTTTAGCTCTGATCTCGTTGAGTAGGAGTACTTGAGTTGTGAGCTCTGATTGTTTTGCATGTTCTGGGTATTTCATTCACATTCAGGATGATGAGGGTCTCTGGCTTCTGCATGGTAACGATCAAATCGATCCCGAAAGTTAGGATTTTATGATTACAGATTTTGTATGGACTGAATCAATTACACTTCCCGAAGAGGAATCACCGCACATAGTGATGGCATTGGAGGATGCCACGATATATACTCTTTTCTGGGCGTGTCACCAAGGAGTGCCTACGATCGAGGACCATGCGAATGGTGAGTGCAGGTAGTTGCTTCTGCGCATGTCTATAGTTGCATCTCTTCTTTCCTACCTTCCACAAGCACAACACACTGCCCTTGCAATACCGAAAGAAAGGAAGCAAAAGAAACAGTGAAGAGCTGCATGATCGAACAACTAGCCAAAGTTCGTCGACACGAGGCAACTCATCGTGGGGGCAAAAACAAACTGCTTTTGCGACCATCATCCCAGAACGGTCTACGTAGAGATGGACCTCCATGATCTTTGAACTTTGTGTGCCCTATCAGAATCACAAAATATCTTCTGTTATCTCAATCTTAAAAGAACGGTGGCGATAATGTTTGTATCGGAGAGAGAGAGATGAACTATGGCGGTAGAAAAAAATCTACACTTTGTACGTGCTCTTTCCTTTTATTTATTTAAAAAACCAATCAGGCAAGAGAGCTGACGATTAAATTAAAAACAAGAATGAACACAGATTGGACAAAACAACAACAATATCAACAACACATGGACTAGCTAGTAGTGATGGCTTTTTGCACACACAGGGCTATTCTAGTTTCTAGTAGTGTGATGGGCTGACGGCTGGTTGGATTGAGACTTCACCACATGCCGCACCACTCCATCTCACCACCGCTCTATACAACTGCTTCACTCAACCATTGAGAAAGTATCATTGAGTGTATGCGGTATGCTAGACTCGATATAATTTTGTTTCTCATTCATGAACCATGCATTGACTGTATGTGGACTCGACGCTAGACTCTAGGCCCCATTCGCGTGCCCTTGAACCTGGCTTGATTCATTTCTTTTTTTCATCCGGAACAGTGTTTTTCTCTCATAAATTCCTCCAGAATTCTTTCAAACCATCCAAATTCCTCCAGAACCATACCATCCGAACGGGGCCTAGATAGGGTCAAATATTTTTGTTCCACAAATAATCTAGAGTGTATCTATGTATTTGGATTTCTGAAACACTTCCATTAGCAATCGATAAAACTTTATAGGAAATTACACATTTACAGTATGCAAGAGACTACGTATGCCGCAGCTGTAATCTGGAAACTGCTCCAAAGACGTCTGTAACTGTAACCATCAGCCAGGAAAACAGTAGGAACCAGGACAGTTCATACCTTTACTAAAAAAAGACATTAAATTCATACTCGTTGCTTTGTCATTGTCAATCTACAAACCAGATGGCAATGTGACCAGAAGGAATTGCTGTTCTCTATCTATAGCCCTATAAGGCCCTGTTCGGCTTACCCAGAAACCGGCTTGTTTGGCTTATTTTTTTTCAGCCGGAACAGTGTTTTTCTCTCCCAACAATTCACCCAGAATAGTGTTTTTCAGTCAGTTTCAGTCAAGTTTCAGCAAGCCGAACGGGGCCTAAGTGAAAGATCAGTTCGGGCCCGGAACTTTGGCCAAATAAAGGGACACTTTTGGTCCCTCATCCATCTATAAAATCGACCAATCCCGACCGTCAACTTTACAATTCAGATCAAATGAGGACCTGATAGGAGGGCAACATGTCCAGGGAAAAAAGAGAGCAAAAGTTGCCATGCATTCTTTCACTTTTACTGCCACGGTCTTTGCCAAATAATTGAGAAAATGATTAACACATCGGGACGATATCGACAGGACGTCTCCTAGATATTTAGATATGTAATTGGGACGTGCTTAAAGCTCAGGAAAGTGACGAGACAGGAGGTAATGGAGGATGTCCACGGTGAAGAAAGGCAGATCGTCGATCGGTAGCAGACAAGAGAAGAAAATATCCCAACCATCGCCAGGTGGCCCGGATGGGACTGGATTGGACTGTACTGCAACCAACGAAAGCGAGCTAACCCCATTTGCGAGCTACTGGATCTTAGCTATCTGATCACACCTGGTTTACATTGACTCGGATGCAGGCATATATGGAACAAGTGGCTTTGGATAAATCAAGCTAGGTTTCTGCCACCGTGTCTGATCGAGCTGCAGTGACCCCATTACCATTAGGATGAAGGAGATGGAGGTCATGGAAAGTGAGAGCAACTGCTTCAGTATTGCTGGTGCAGTGGTGCTAACCTCAATTATTGAACCTTGATCCCATTTCTTCACATGAACTTAACAGGTTTATGCAGGATTGGATGGAGGAATCCAAACCATGGGCAGGATCGGAGCTACCTTGCAATGAGACTGACTGGCTACTCTTCAACTCATCAACCACGATCAGGATCGGCGTTGAGGGGGAAGCTCTCAGAAATTTGGCAGTACACCTATTCGAGATGGTTAAAAGAACAAATCGGTCCACCGAGAACTTCGAAACAATAGCTGGATACACACCCTTAGAAGCCGGATCACCACCGCCGTCCACATTGAGGAATTTATCTCTTTTTGGATCAACAAAACATCCAGCTGATGCCGGGCATGCGCGACTCCATCGTTTGGAGATGGATGGCGGATGATACCTACTCTACCCGTTCAGTGTATAGGATCTAGTTCAGAGGCTCGTGCGAAAGATCCCAAAACGACATTATATGAAAAGCACATGCGAAAAACAAATGCAAAGTCTTTGTCCGGATACTTGTGCAATACAAAATTCTAACGGTGCACAATAACATGCACAAAAGAGGATGGCCTCACCATGAGCACTGCACCTTATGCTATGGACCTTTGGAAACAGATCCTGGGATTCCTAGGAGCACTTTGATGTACAACTCTTACGATCCATTCTAGACCCCCTTCACATCAATACTTGGTGGGAAGAGATCGCAGCCAAGGTAACAAAAGAAGAAAAAAGACATTTCAACGGAATTGTGATCCACACACTTTGGAACTTACGGAATGAAAGAAATAGAAGAATTTTCAATAATGTTCAGAAATCATCATTGCAGTTCGCTTCAGAGTGAAAGAGGACTTTGGGCAAAGAAAGAGGGCTATCACGTGCCGGGGGGAGGGGGGGCATTAGTACCCCAGAGGGGCAATCTGTAATGTTTTTTTACTAGGTAGCCCGTCGGGGCCTACATAAATCCTCTTTTATCTATCTTAATTGAAATGCAGAGCTCATGTCGTTACATTGAAAAAAGAACTTAACAGGTTTACATTACTGCAATCATCCCTACTTCTTAGTAGTGTCTTATGGTTCTGATTTGAAGCGAATAGGCCATTGATCATGTCCGGTGGACTTTGCCCGCCAATATACTACTTCTAGAACTACTAAATAGGATTTTCAGCTATTTCTTTTTTCTGATTCTGAATCAATTAGATTTACTGATTTTTGGGGAACACACATGAAGTGAAGATGAACTATATAATACATAGAGAAATTTTACAATATTTAGAAAAAATATGGGCCATCCATAGAATGAGATCAGACGGTGCAAAAATAGGAGGTACCTAGTATGAATAGGAGGTACCTAGTATGAAAGTACTAAGTACTACCAAAGTGGTGGGGACGGTACCAAAATAGGTAGGACCGGTACAAAAATATGTGGGCCAATTCTATATTTTTTGTTTTATTTTATTTTTTCTGTTAAGGGTAAATCTGTAATCTCCATAGGTTCTTGGAAGGACAATCTTGTTAGCCCATAGGATCACCGGCACGGGTGAGTCGACCACTCACCACTGTTGCCGACCACGACTATCGTTATCCGACCACACACTATGGCTAGAGGTAGAAGATGGAAGGGAGAACAGAGCACACACACAACACAAGCACCAGCGTTGGCCGGAGCTTTGCAAAGGAGATGGCAAACTGAACTATCTCTCTTTACTGAGTTGCAGTGGCAAACTATATATACAACTCTATCCATCTATTCCTAGTACAGCTGACATGCTGCTACAACGACTAGATGTGACAGTAGGTCTGACTTCGGCGCCTGCCCCTGCTGTGGCTACAGTGCGGCAGGTGAGCCGTTCGGTGCCTGCCCCTGCAGCGGCTACAGTGTCACAGCAGGGAGACTTTTCGGTGCCACCTTCCCCTGCCGTGTGTTCACACAGAGATGCAGTATATTATCTAACAATTCTTTCCCTAATCCTGCTGCTAACCCTAGAACCCCCTCCATGCCGATCATCTTCTTCAGCTCCATGAGTCGAAGACGGCGAAGCGGCTTGGTGAGGACGTCTGTGAGTTGCCGACCAGTTTCGACGAACTCGATGACGATCTGCCCTCCATCGACATAGTCCCTAAGGAAGTGGAACTTGATGTCAATGTGCTTGCTTCGGTCATGGAGAACCGGATTCTTCGCGAGGGCGATGGTGAGCTGGTTGTCCACCATCAGTGCTGGTGGGTGAGCTTTCACACCGGTCAGCTCGCCCAGCAGCCGACACAGCTACACAACTTGGCACGCCGCTGTGCCCGCCGCCACGTACTCTGC